AAAAAAAAAAAAAAAAAAAAAAAAAAAAAAAAAAAAAAAAAAAAAAAAAAAAAAAAAAAAAAAAAAAAAAAAAAAAGCGGCCGACTCAAGACCGTAAACATTGTAATTCAAGTTTTGCAAACTCCGGATGTAACCATCAGAGAGTTGGTCCAACGTTTTCGCGAGATAATCATACTATAAAGGATGTGAGAGCTCAAGCTCGTTTTGGCTGGACCAGCACCAAATGCTAGCGTTGGTCTTAACACATTTTTCCCAACTTCGACGGAATTATAAACTCTTGGTGCCCCGAAACATAATTGAGGCAACCAAATTTTCTGATAGCCAACTAAAGTTTGTAAGATAATCACATTTTACGTTAGTATTAGTGTCGGTTACATTACTTCCCGAAAGTACAATTAATTGACTTCAAAATGATACAAAAATTATTGTGAATACGGACAGCAACGATTTTCGAAAAGAAAGATTTTCATGTTTTATTAATTAATCTGCTTTCGGGGTTCGTAAGACCTTTGCCTGGCAAACAGTCGCTGATGATAACGTTTTGCATGCTATACGTATCAAAACGACGGCGTAACGAGAACCGGAGATATCCGACCGAGCTGAAATTTTAAAAGTAATCAGACTTTGTAACAGGAAATTTCAAAGCATTTGCTCATTCCTGTCCCAAATTAGTAATATACAGTGTCGAGTCAACAATCGCGGGAGAGCAGTCGATCGTTGACCTTGGGTTTAGCTATGTTCAAATGGTGCGTGGACTTTCCTAACTTTAGTTAAATATAACGACAGTTGGCGACCTGAAACTAAACTTTACTATACTACTCACGACTTTGTGAAACTAATCCTAGACACTATTTGCCGAAAATTTGGTATCTATCTAAGGGCCTTCTCAACAGCTTTGATGCCCCGATCAAATTTGGAAACGTATACAAGTAGGGGCATCGGTTCTCAACAGCCTTTCTAAATAGAGTAATACTGTATTTAGGTTTTGGGTGACAGATAAAATTAATAGAAATTTGTGTAAATAATTCAGGTTTAAACAATAATCGTCTCGATAATTAATTATGAACTCTCGTTCCGTTATTCACGTAATTGATCCGCGGACAGCTTACTAGCTTGATCGAATCAATGCTATTCCGTTATAGCTTAAGTGAGCCGTTTATTGGAGTGTCCGGTCTAATAATCAATTATTTCGATGATGAAAGAATAAAATATGTATATTGATAATGAAGGATTTCGGGAAAATGCTACTAAGATCAGTTTTATTCGTTTTCATTCAACATAGACAACATGAAGATTTGACGATGGAGGAAGAGCTACTTATATATCTTTTGCGTCGCAAGAAAAGCGATATATTCTATAGATTATTATAGCTATTAATTTTAGCGTTTGTCCTGTCACTTATTTCCCGACATTTTGCTATACCCTAATTTTGGACACAGCGTTGCTACTAGTGGTTTGTTTGACTGCGGAGTAAGATTTTATCATGTGACCTACTTATCTGATTCATCGCCGCGAAACATAAATCAATTAGAAAATCCAAGAATATTTTAATGCCCAATGCACTTGCAAATTTCTTCAATTCCTTATTACAACATTACATGAGAAGAAATTGGCAGTTGTTAATAGAAAGAGTAAGAGGAAGGAGCATGGTCTTACCTCAAAAATACTTGACACAAGTCAGATAAAACCTTTGTATTTGTTCGCTTCTATACTATTAACCATTGCCTTTCCTGGGATGAAATTTTGGCTCACACATATTATGTCATCTCTATGCCAAAAACCCAAATTGCTACCATACTTGTGAAATATTCTTTATACAACAAGTGTTATTATTATTTCTTACACTAAGCAGCATGGGAATTTGTACCGAATGTGAAATTGACAATACAGATTTTGCTTGCTGCTACATTCTCATGGGACCATATGTATGACACAGCATGACAAACTTCACATACAACACTATGGTGTTATTTCAATTCACTCTTCCTGTTCCTCTTGATAGTGTATAACTGGAGATGAATCTGCTCATCAATTATTACAATACAGCCACTTCCTAAAAAGTTTTTGCCTGGGTATGGGGTGGGTTTTGTGCCAAGGGCAAACCAGTTTACACTGTTTTACAGGCATCATGGATGCAAAGTTTTACACAGAAATTTTGGAGGGACATCTTCCAGAAATCAGGAGAATGTTTGGAAGAAGGTGGAGATTTCAACAGGATAATGACCTGAAGCATACAAGCCAGGTAGCCAAGGAGTTTTTAAAGGAAGACTTCTCTGAGGTTATGGACTGGCCTTCTAATAGTCCAGACCTTAATCCTATTGAGCAATATATGGTGGAAGAGTGGGAAAATATTTCTAATGAATTTTTGACCAACCTTATTTCATCAATGCATGACCATTGTCAGCAAGTAATAGACAATAATGGTGAACAGTGGTCATAATATAATTATATTATGACCACTTAGTCTAGGTTATGACCTCTCAGTTAGACTATGTCCACTTGTCACATGACCACAAGTTATTCCCATGGCGTGTTTGCATTTGCATCGTCTAACGCATATCCAACCAACCGTCTTAATCAAAATGCTGTAAACTTACTTGTCAAGCAAAGCATTGAAAAACATGCAAAGCGAGCATTTGTTTCTAGTGTCATACCCCAACGACTTCAACAACGAAACTTACGCGACGCGTATGTTAGAAATGCATCAGCCCGTATTAATGCAATACTTTTATTTGAAAATAGCGAATGTCCACATTAAATCTAAACTACTGTGAAGTAATTGACCAACTCATTCATCAAACATTCCTTCGGGTATCTTCAACACATGGCGGACCGTCACCTCCTTTGATCGAAGTACAGATCCATTGATTAACTCCTCCTGCTTTGATAACTCGTCCTACGGAAAAATTATGTCACATAAGTATTTGGAGAATAAAACGTGAAGAATTCACCCAATTCACACATACATGAAAGATCGCCATCATCCGAAAAATAGCCTTATACTGATGCCGACCATTAAAACTAAAAGGAATCAAAGCAGTAGCAAGTTCTGCTGAAAGGAATCGTCCGTCAGGAAGCATGTTTAAAGAATAGAGTGTTATTCGGGTACCTAAAACCAGAAAATATAAGTATCAATCAAAAAACATTATCACAAAAATCATATACATTACTTACTAATAACCTGAGTACAGAATACTTTATTTTGGTCGCGAGCTTAACATCACAATCAAGATGATTACGTAACACTATAATCAAATTTAGTACATCCATTCTATGAGTTTTCTTAGTGTCACCTATCGTGTGTATATCAGTAGTATTATATGGTCCCCCAGCCACTTCCATGTGCCATATATCCAAGCCATCATAATATCGCGTTGCTTTGGAATCTACTTTAACGATTCCCGAGTTGGTGGCGGATTTCATTAATTTCGCAGATCGCGCGTGACTTTCTATCCAGTCGAGTTCAATATCCAAAAATGTTGCTTCATGATCGATGAAATTTGATTTATAATAAATTTGTGTTCCCCTATTTTTCGGCTCACAGGATTTCTATCAACGAGATTATAGCTAAAAAAGAAATAATTGTCAACATCTTACTTTGATTAACAATATCAGATTATTAAAATCTACTTACAAGTCAAGAAATACTTTTTCACAATATAATCGGAAGAGTTCATCTGGAACTTCAACTAATACGGCGGCTTTAAATTTTTTTCCGACATTCTTAAGGGCAGTGTCAATATAGTTTTCTAGATCGGATGTCCACACTTTAGGGTTGATATCGCGTATAGTGCATAATTCCTTAGCGAGATCCTCGCCGATTTCTAAAGTCAACTCTGAAATCGGTTTATCAAATGCACATATTACACAAATATCTTCAGAGTATCTGGAGGAATTTGACTATTAGTAGATACTTGCCATCCATTGAGTAATACATAGACAGAGAGACTTACTGTTGAACTTCCTTTCTTCGTGGTCGTTTATTAGGCGTCGTCATCAACAAACTCAAATCCAGAGGTCTTTGTGGTGGTGTTCTGGGTACAGGTTGTGGAGATTCTGAATGGCTACTTGCCCTCTTAGGCTCCTCTTCAAAAGAATCGGAATCTGTTTCTGCTTCGGTGTAACAGACTCTTTTTATCTCCCTAAGCATCATTCTAGTAGAAGAGGAAGATTCCTCCTCCTAAAAGAAATTGTATATCAGTTTTATGTAATTAACCTTGAAATTGATGACTAATCTTAATTGAACTCACGTCTCTTTCGACTTTTGATGAACGTTTATTGCGTTTAGCAGTTGAGATATTCGTCACATTCCCATTTATAGAACTGTTCTGTAAATCCCCGTAAACGTTAACCAAAGCCGAAGTTCCACTAGCCACTTTTCCATGTTCCCTCTCCCAATTTCGAGCGAGAGTCCTAACGCATAAAATTAGTAATATTCACAGCTAATACCTTTCACAATTTCCATTTATTTCAATCCTATTTAGATCGACCCAAAGTCTTGAACAGCAGACAATCCCAAAGATTATCTGTGCACCAATAGGGTTAGTGCTAAGTCGACCCAAAGTCTTGAACGTCAGACAATCCCGAAGATTGCATGCGCCCCAACACTAACTTCGTAGCTCGTCCCATAGACTTGAACGAACAGGAATCCCATAGATCCCTGCCGCGCCACCAATTTCTTATTCATATTTCTTTAATAAAAAAAAAATCTTGAACTTGCCTGTTTATAACGATCATGCAACTCACGCGCTTTTACACTCCTGTTGCCATCCTTCTGATCAATGATGCTCTCGAGAGAAGTAAGATATTGATTAACTTTTTTAGTGAACGATTCTGCATCGCATTCTTCCAAAAAACTTGTAATATTCCATTCGGAGGACTTGCGATCAAAATATTCATGCACCCAATTTTCCGACATGAGCTTGTATTAGTATCTCGACAGACACGTCCCGGTACTTTGTCAATCATGTAACATTAACGGTGTGTGATGATGCATACTAAAATTTTTCTTGTCTGATGTCACAATGCAAGTGTGTGCATTTACGGACATATTAATATTATAATAACCCTTGGGATTGTGAAATCCGTTGCACGTGCAGAGTATGGAGAATGTGCACTTATCACTAATTTATCAACTTACACAGAAAAACGGTGCGACAATAGATTATATAAACAACACGTCCTAGACGTGGCTAATTTTACTTTCGATTAACCTCCTCCCAAAACCCTAACCACAATGATTCATCAAAACCAGTTAAAAAAACACAAAACTGCTAATTGCTGTGACAAAAGTCAAGGTGTAAAGGCTTATTCCTGCTGCCCCCAATTTAAAAAATTACGAGACCAAATTGAAGAGTGTAGAGATTGTCAAAATCCCACGAAGCAAGAAGATTACAAGCGGGTGCGAACGCGAACAAAAATCCCTGGATTTAGCGAACCCCTAAGGAATGGAGTTTGCTGAAGGGGAAGAAAACTGCTGTTACACAGCGTAATTTGGAGTATGCCACTTATCAGGGAAAAATCCAGCAGTTATGCATTGCTGAAAAGCTGCTTAAAGAATTTGAGGTAAAAAATCCTACCATCAATTATTATGATGAGTTGAAGCTTTATAATTCATGCAATAACTAATATTACTATTTGACTTACAGAATAGCACCATTGCCTGCCATCAGGGTCAAGATACCTGGCTTCTTATGTCGGCATATTAATGCGGCATTCTCAAAAGCAAGAAGCCGAGATACATTTGCCGACATTCTCCGCCGTGTCGACCCCCCCCCCGGACTTATTATACGAATGTAAAAGAGTTAGTATTAGAGAAAACTCTGAGATCAGGGATAATTTAGGTCCAGATACCTATTACAATCATGAACTGTTCTCCAATATACTTTATGTAGATGATAATGACATAAAGAGACTTGTTTCTGAGCAAAACTTGGTGGTTTTAAAGGCTACTCAAGATTTAATACCTTTACATATTATTAAAATATATGCTCTCACACATATGATTATTAAGATCTACCCCTTCCTTTGATTATTATACACTTTGTGGTCATTAGTTGAGTTCTATTTATTAGAATGGATGACTTTCAGTTGTATCATATGTCATTTGAATTGATCTCTATTCTTTACATCAGCAACTCAGTTAAATAAAATTAAATTAATTTGTCATCGTTTTGCACAATATGCCAAGCATGCAATAAAAAAGACAGGAGTCGGGAGGCATCTCACGAAATTGTCCTATTTATAGTACTCACGCATTTATTCACCATCTTCATCCTCATCTTCTAACCTCCTTGCTATTTTCTTCCTCGCGGGTTCACTTTCCTCCTCGCTATCATCATCAGAATCATTAAAAAAATATGCCTCTTCGTCTCTATCCACAGTGGTCGACACCCACGCGCCCGGACGTGCCTGCTGAGGAGTTTGCTGATCGTCACTTTCATTTGACATGTGTATGGATTCAGAATTATGTGATCTGTACATCATATCCATTATCTCACTCGTCCTTTCGAAGCCAGCTTCTTTCAATTGATCTGCACAAGTTTGCCATGTAGAATCTAAAAATTCATCAAGGCGAATCTTGCAAACAAATGTAATCAATTCTTGACAGGCCGAGTTTAGAGCATTGGAGCTGTGTTCTGGCGTGAGAAGAACCGCGACTATTCGAGGGATGAGCTTGTTTTGAGCGAAATACTGCAAATACGCTGTGTTTTTGGTACTGAGACATTTTCGTATGAAGCGAAGAGCGGCTGTAAATGATTAGGAAGACACAAGAGGTGAATCCGTTAATTATTAATTTCGAGGTAGTGATTATTAGCAATAGGATTGACGCTTACCAACTCGAAGTGGCGTAGAACCACTTTCTAATAATAAAATAGCCTTATTTCCAATATCTGCATTCGTTAAATATGCCTTGGTCCTTATAGTATGAAGTGGTACTAAAAATGTCAACAGATCACATATGAACATACATGATCGCATCTCGTCATTTGACATCTTTATCACGTCTAACAAGTTGAACAAAGAAAAGGGATTGTTACTGATGGATGATGTCTAATTAATCCTAAATCGTCGAAACATGAAGCAATTCGCTCGTCCAACATACCATTTTTACTCGTTATTCTTTTAATTGGGCCAATAACTTTGCCCAATAGAGATGCATAAAAATAACCCACAAAATTATCATAAATCGCTCTTTCATCATCGTCTATTTCGGGCAGATCCACTCCATCCCGTTTTTGGTTCAAAGATTTACAGTCAACCAAAAATTTCAATACTTCGCACGCCTTCCCTCCGACCAACAGATCTCCATGATCTGTCGTTAATCGTTCTATGACCAGCTCGAGTGAGGTAAGCGAGTAAGATTTGAGTTCCTTATCGAGTGCGCGTTCCATAAGACAGGCTGACCGGGCAACCGTCGGCTCTAATCTGCAGAATAGTTCAATTATTTCGAGACCCATAAGTCGAATTTGGGGAGAGGGGTGAGCGAGAACATGTCTAAAGGCCATGTGTAGATTGTGGCGAAGCATTTCTCTAGAAGTGCATAAGAAGTATGTAAGTATAACATAGTGTCGATTAACCATATATTCAACTCAAATTACCTTGACAAACTAATCCGCGCACTCGATCCTTGAGCCATGCGAAAAATCTGCCTTAAAGCTTTAACCGCATCTTCTCTCTTTTTCTCATCGACACCTGGTTCAAAACATTTAAACAATTCTTCAAAGAAGTTTTGCTCTTGCAAAAGCTCATATAGTATTTGCTCGTTGGCAGAATTTATCAAAGCCCCAAGAATCGCGACGAGTGGGTCATTGGGTGTGCGGACGAGGACGGAATCTCGGATATAATGAGAGCGCTGGTTACGTAAAGTTAGGGATCGAAGGACCTCGCTTTCCACCGGGACTACCTGACGTACAGAGAATAAAATTTGAAAGTTTAGTCAAGCGTGAGTAGAATTAGCAAAAGCCAGATGTGAGCAACAAAACCATCGCTGAGTGAAACGGGGGAAAAGGAAAAGGAAATGGAGATGGCAACGCCAAAAATGTTAGCGTTACCTCAACAGGCTTCATTGAAATTATCATATCCCTGTGTATATTCGAAGGTGATATCGGAGACTCTGGGTCGTCTAGATAGTAATTTGTGTCGATTAGAGAGATGCTTGTGAACGGGCATTAAGCATTCTTTGATTACAATAGATTGCTTAAATTCACATAGTCTGCTCGTTATCGTATCCCACTTACACTCTAAGCAAGAAACAAATAGTCCAACGAATTCTTCGCTCATCAACTTCTCAACAATTTCAGTATCCTGAAATGCCGCTGGAGGTATTACAATTGCGGTTACTGACTATTCGTTTAGATAATATACCCCCAAACAACATCTGAAATACCTATTAAAAAAAAGGCTCTACCATCTCCCTTATTCTTGCTCTAATTCTCATAGACTCACTTATTATTTTTTTTATAATACCACACAAAGTTTGCATTTCATTCACCGATCCTTCTTTCTCTATCTTCGGGAACATTTGTAGAATGTTCTCTATATACCCCTAACAAAGAAACATAACCAGCAAGCAAAAAGGGTTTGTTATGATTGAGTCCATAAATTCACTAATAAGATTTTTTATTATAAATAATAATAGCTTCGATGACATCAACAATAGTTGATGAAATATTAACACTGACAGCAATAACAGCAACAGCAAATTATGCGGGATCCCAAAGCTTACAATCTTCAGTGTGCGTAGAATACGGGGCCGATCTAGAGCTTTGAGTGTTAGAAGACTTTCGTATATTTGAGGGAGATTCTCGCGTCTGGGAGGTGGAAGCCAGCCTAAGAGAAAGATAAAGTAAGGAAAGTAGCGATTATTGGTATGCGGGCAAGTTAATGCTAGGCTTTTGACATGCTTTCAAAGAAGGACTGTAATCAAAAATACCTAAACTGGGTTCTAACAATCGAGCCTGAACATCGTTTATAAAGGACCTAATAATCATCAGACCGAAACATGTTATTCACACAAATAACTATCATCGATTCGTAATAACAATATCATCATTTAAAAGTTACCAATATTCTCCACATTCGCGTGCTGTCTCGAAACTCAATGCTATGTCTCTTCCGTCTGGTTCAGTCCAGGACATGATCATAGCTACATTATTTAATAAAAACAAGGTTCATTAGCAACAGAGTCTACCCCAAATGCGAAAAATTTCATTGGATCTAACACATACTGTTTTCTTTCTTATACGAGACATCTCTGTGAATTATGAATTCCCATACTAGTTCATGAGAAAGGCTCACAAATTGTATAACACCTTCGTTTTGAGCCTGTAGGGTTAAAAGATTAGCGCAAGGTCGAGTTTCCTTGAGACAAAATCACTTGTGCTTACCCAAGTGGCTTTGACGATCGCATATCCAAATCCAATTTTCTTCCACTGGCCGTCGCCGACTAGCTCGAACGCGATCACTTTACGATCTGGTATTGTTAGATCCATACCTGCCCTTTAGTTTGACTATTACAGATACCTTTCTTGCTTATAATATTCTCTTATTGACAATATAGAGTAAGAAGAATAACTTATTGTACATGAACTGATTTGCTGGCGTTGTAACAGCACGATAACCTCTCAATTTTGGTGATCTCATATCTTCGATAACAAACGTACTCAACTTGGTAAGTGAATGGGCCGATCCTTTCTATTTTAGCTTAATTACTATCGTTATTATTAACGGTCGTGGCATCATGTTCACTTTTCTGCCCTGGATGTTATTAAAGAATTCTAACTTGTTTTTGTTTGCAGATCCTGTTTTTAAAATACCCGGTTTGTTGGTAAAATCATCGTCATGCTATTATTATGTCATGCGATGTTGACTTAGTATACTAATATTGACTAACTGTGCGAATTGTAATCATTAGGTGTTATTTTGTTTATATACTACACTGGACAGCCAGTAAAGAAGAAAATAGTTAAGAGGCTAATAAAAGGAATTTACTCGGGAAATGATATTATTTTTATTTTTTATTTTTATTTATTTAATTAGATAGTCGAGCACAACATTCAAGTGAGAGTTTATACCTTAGCAATAGAAATAGGATGTATAAAGAGCCATCTTAATTGATACGAGCGTGTAAGCAAGATCACGCTTAGGGTCAAATTTTGAGAATATCCCCCGGTCAAATTTGGACACAAAGTTCTCCCAGGTGACCAAACGTAACAATACGTCATTTATTATCAGTGCACGCGTCTTGCATCTTTCAAATGAACAAAAAAAGGCAACTATCGAACAATGCTAAACAATGCAAAGGAGCAGCTGACGAAGGCAGAGGCTGCATTGGTGAAGTTAGAAAAAGGACAGAAATTGGCAGCATTGGAGGAGAAGATTTTAGTAAAAGGGTGGAGAGACAGTTGGATGTGCTGAAAGCAGAAAAAAAGTAGCTGGAGGAGAGGGTTGAAGCCCATTTACAGCAACACAGACATGTTGATAACTGTTTTGAAGGTAAGCAAATTTCTGATTGATATTTCAGCAGTGTGGATTGACATGTGCAAATGAATCAAGAAAGTGAAATCCAATTAATGAGGTTTTGCTGACATGCTTTAACGTGTATAATGTAGTCACTACAACAGAAAAAGGCAGAATAATATGCCATTTGGATTTTAGTAGCCCCAAAATTCAGTATCAGTCAAGTTTTGACATATTAATATTGTTATACTAATATGACGAATTTAATAAAGCATGATTTACGATTAATATTATTGGTACGTCAGATGATCACTTAAATGTATTACACAAGCATGTAAATATCTTAGTGACGTAAATCAGTATTTGTGTGCACTTAATATTAAGGACTTATAGAACATCGAATAGAAAACCAGAAAACTGTTACACATAATAATACTTACTCTTTATTATCTTATCACATCGAGTCAAACTATACTTTAGTTTGATGCATTGTGCTTGCTTTCCTGACTTCAACAAACTTCTCAATATTTTGTAAAGAGGTATATATTGTCCTGTTGCAAAAGAAAGGCGCGTATTATTTCCAAGCTAGCGATTGCTGTGTTAGCGCTAATAACAGGACTTTCCTCACTATTATTTATGTCGTCTACATCCGTAATTGCTTGATCAGTATCATTAAAGAGATATACAAGTTCGCGGTCGTTGTCGGGAACTTCGTGAATAATATTCTCTTCAGGGACAATTATTTATTGTGGCGTTTATGTCATCTTCGCTTAATTTGGAAAAAGTGATTAAAAGTTTTACTATTTTAGTAAATATCTTATGTCGATGTATTTACAGTTTTGTAAGCACGAGTATATTTATAGTACTAATGTAATCACGGCGATTAATTGGCTGACCATTTTTAAATGTCACGTGCGTGAACTTATGGAGGTTGCTTTAGATTTATAAACAACCATAGTTTCTGCACCTTTTCCACTTAGGATTTGGTCGAAGGCCCCAACGGAATAATGGAATAACTCTTACGGTGGATAGGATCGAATAAATACGATGGAAACGACTAATAAACCTACGATTGGAAATATTCAACTCGCGTTCACTATGGGTACAAATTTAGAACGCTAACGATATTCTGTGTAGTGCGGAGAATATAATGAAGGCAATGATCGACCGTGATGATGTCGTCGAACAAGAAAAAAACATTAAACGATTTAAAGCTGGCTATTATTCTTTACTTTACGAAGGAGGGAATGTGTGGCAGAGAAAACACTCAAATTTCAAAAGGGGATGTAAAATATACTACGAGTTGGTTCGACTTATAGTTGCTGCAAAGTCCAACAACTAAATATTAAGAAGTGGAAATTCACAAGTGCCACACAGAGTCACCAGTACAGATTTACAAGCAGCAATCAAATACAGCAGCAGCAATTGCCAACTTGGTGGCTATAACTATTGTGTAAGTTTGCAGAAATCATCTTTGTTCTAACATACTGTTGTACTTACTTAGTGATTTTATAGTCACAATACAAGATATTAAGATGGAGAAAGTGTTACGACGAATCGGTCTGATGATTCAGTCGATGAAGTCATGTGATAAAATCTTCCTCCGCAGTCAAAATACTACCCGCAGCGATCTAATTTTAGCACTGTCACACTAGAGTTCAAATGTAGTAATTTTCGGTAACGGAAATTAGTGATAGTACAAGATACAAACAATAGCTAAACTTAGTAATTCTCGGTCACTGAAATTGGTGATAGTACGAAATATAAAATATAGTAATTTTCGGTAACGAAAATTGGTGATAGCAAAAAGCTGAAAGTAGTAATTTCAGGTCACTAATTTTGGTGATAGTAGCCTTATATAAGTAGCGCTTCTCTCATCATCAAAACCTCATGTTGTTCATGTTGTTAAGTTATTAGTTTGTTATTTGGTTCGATACATTGTTTGAAAATAATCAATATAATAATCCACGGATTTGTTCTTATCCAAGGAAATAAAATTATTGAGAATTCCTTTTTGTTACTTAATCATATACTATCCATATTTCATCTTTCTATACAATCAACGTTGAATATTGATATTTGCCGGGTTGAAGTCCGAGATAGTTCGCTTACAGACTATTCGCAGATACTTCGGTTAGCGATATACCCGTTGAGCAAGATACACCTAAATAAAGAGTGCACGCGAGTCTTATTAATATTCAATTGAGATTCTACCGTTTTATTCGTTTAATTAGTTATCGTTTTAATTAAGAAGTGACAAGATACCCGACTAGTCAAAACACTAAATCGAAGTCCGCCCTGTTTAAATTAAATATAAATTATTCCCCTTCGATTCTGTAGCAATATTGTAGTTGTAACGATATTGTTATAGGTACCCCTTATTTAGAAACGAGTCTAGTTATACTTCGTTTAGGGAGTTGGTTAAGCGCGCATAATTAATTATAGTCACTTATAAGTTTAATTCAGTCGTAAAGACAATCGCTATTAGTAAGGGTAGCGATCTGAGTTAAATTTGGTAACATCCCCCTGTCGGTGAACACACCTACGCGACAGATCATTAGCTCTCCCACCCAAAGAATACACCGACCGCAACAATACGGACTAGACAACATGGAAGGAAACACAGAGAAAATGTTCTTGACTGAACTTGTGTCAGCCTTCTGGTCTCTTTCCTTGCAAAATTTTGTATATGTCCCAGAAACTTACTATTTCTGGCACAATAGGATAGAACAAATCCTCTTACAAGCAAACCTCTCAAATATGACAAAGGAATAGCACATTACAAAGTAATTTTTCTTCCTGAAACTAACAAACAAGGCCTACTCAAGAGTCTTCTCACAAGTCAAGAATGGGCATCCTGTGAAGCTTCTTGGACTATTCCGCAGTACATTAAATCCAAGTAACACAATAGTCAAGAATTTGTGCAATGCAGGAATAATGAACACTTGTTCACAGGATTTGGGCGAATCTCGACAAGTCGGTATCCGTCACTAAACTAATTAACAATATTCGTCTCGATAATTAATTATGAACTCTCGTTCCGTTATTCGCGTAATTGATCCACGGACAGCTTACTAGCTTGAAACAAGTAACAGAGACAGATATTAATATGCAAATGAAAGAATGAATATACTGTAAATAAAGATACAGAACAAGAAATGCCAAAGAAGGGGGCACTATAAAATAAGCAAACGTCTCTTCTCTAAAGATTTGTTCTAACAGTTAATTATCCAATCCCTTGCCATTAGGAAATCCTAATCAATAAAAGGCGCGAAATTTAGACTATCAACAGAAAACACCTCCCAATAAACCCATGTAAATTTCCCACTGGTAGATCTGAGTCGAAGTCGATAATTAGAATTATCATTATGAGAAGCGAAAGGGTTCATTCCACGTGTACGCTCTTTTCGACGTCATTCTTATCCAGTGAAAATATAAAACTTTCGCGAGCTGAAACATGTCCGTAATTACTATTACACGTACTCCATGTCCTTTGTTTGTACACATTTGCCGAAAAGTTTTCACTTTGTCTGTCCTATCCCTATCCCTGCTTTCTCGATAAAGTAAAGTCAGTCTATAAGAAACATCTTGCTTCCGAGCTACATCTTTGTTTAACTTGGTGTTTTTTGTTGATTCTGCAATTTTCTGTAAGATCCTATGCGCATACAGTTTTTGCGTTAACGTCAACGATATTCATATATGCGCATATTTTGCGCATCAATCTAAATCACTTGCATTAACAATTTTAAACTTCTTATTATTATATTCATAGTATTAGTATTATGTCAAACTTCCCTATAGTTTATCGGGCAGGACGTGTTGATTGTTAAGAGGCATACAATATGATTACACTTTATTAATTTATGGAAAGTAAGAGTGTATTCACTCAAATCTTTGTAACTACGGTGGCGTTACTGTAGACATGTTAATAGTCGGATCTGCCCACTGATCGCTGTCCTTTGCTGTGCTGGACAATGGGTTGAACTATATGTGTCCTACGACTTCTGCGACGGGTAATTTTAAAGCAGGTAATAAACATTCTGTCTGCATCTTGAAGACGGCGATAGAGAAGTACTATAGAGAGCAGCATCAACAGTGTAACTCTTTAATCGTTCCATAGATATAACGGCCGATGTACATACAGCATATGTGTAATATTCGATATTACATTGTGTGGAGTGAGAATTCTGGCGGGGGAGGGATTATTCATCCTAATAATAACCAAAGAACAACACCGTAAGAACTGGGTTCTTAGCAAGGGAGCCAAGTCAAGTGACTGAACAAATCAAGACCAACAGAGCCCGAACGAATCAAGTCAAGTGACCGAACAAATCAAGACCAAAGAGCCCGAACGAATCAAGTCAAGTGACCGAACAAATCAAGACCAACTGCGCCCGAACGAATCAAGTCAAGTGACTGAATAAATCAAGGCCAACAGACCCGAACGAATCAATTCAAGCGACCGAACAAATCAAGGCTAACAGAGCCCGAACGAATCAAGTCAAGCGACCGAACAAATCAAGGCTAACAGGCCCGAACGAATCAAGTCAAGCGACCGAACAAATCAAGGCCAACTGAGTCCGAACGAATCAAGGCCAAACTGAACTAGACAACCACTTGCCTGTGTTCCTTGCAAAAAGCTGGTCGAGTAAAACTTGGCTCTTCAGTTGCTGATACCTTTAAGGCGTCTTTGGTAAGTTCAAGCTCCGGTTGCTGTTCAGTTATGCCTCGCCGATATATTCTGGTTGCATGCGCAATAAACCGTGTCGTTGTTAGAGGACTTGTTCGTACGTGCGTAATATGGAGTGGGCGGCTTTGGAGGAGAGGTTGTCGTGAAGCGATACATGTACAACTATCTAAGTATATGAGTAGACGTGCGTTCGAACTTTTCCATCGCTTCTTGGTCGATAAACCGTGTCGTAAGAGTTCGTTGTATATTTAAGATAATGTTGTATTTGTTCTGGCCCGATCTGTCCATCAGCCCGATCTGAACCAAGTTGATTGTCATTGGTCCATCTTGGAAAACCCCCCTA